TAAAAAAAAATTTAAATTATAATAGCTATATCGTAACCTGAGAATTAAGTTATTCTAACTCCACTTTTTGTCAAAAATGACTTTTTTTTTAAACATATTACATTAAAAAATTCGGAATATTTATAAAATAACACGAATTAAATCCAAGCAAATAACTCAATTTTTATAGATTACTCTCCTTTGTAGAAATTACGAAAATTGGAGTTAGAATATTATAATTCTCAGGTGACAATATGCTTAAACTTGTATTCGTCCTCCATACTTTTTGGTCTAATAGCAAAGAAAGCGAGGCGTTATTTTGGGTTAAATTTTTGGTCTGTTTGATTCTTTCGCGTTCGATTCTCTCCAGTTCCTCGATCAGCAAATTTTTCTGTTCGATTTCTTTTAGTGTTTTTTTTTGTTTATTTTTATTTTATATTGTATAAATAAATTCGTAAACATGCCAAAAAAAGGAGTATAATATTCCCGATAACAGATCTTATAAATCGAATCTTACCCTCCAATCACAGTTAGCGACGGCGAAATATATAAAAAAAATTTGTATAATTCGTCGCGACATCGCGCCAACTGTGAATGCGGCGTAAGGGTGAATTCACAGTAGAGAGCGACAGCGACACGACAAAATACAAATATATGTAATTACCAATGACTATTCATAGTGAGCTTTTGCGACGCGACACGACAATCCCGCCACATTTGTCGCATTAAACTTAAAAATCAAGTTACAAATCATTTTGTTTTTTTCCATACGACATTAACTACAATATGGCAGAAAAAGATTTACAAGTAAATTTTTGATATGCTATTAAATAACAAATGTTATATATATATATATATATCAGAATATAAATAAATATTATATTAATAATTTTTTATAGAAAATCAATAAAGAAGATTAAATCAATTCCATTAGATACCATCCTTGTCTTTATGACAAAAAATGTATAGGTTATAAAAATAACTCAATTTGGAAATTAATATCAGCTGAAAACAATATTGATAGAGCCAGGAATTCAATACAGTAATTTGAAAAAAACAAATCCTGTAATATCTAAAATTGATGAAGCAAATATTGCAAGAGCGATGTTTGAGCAAATGAGTGGTAATGAAAATTATCAATATGAAGATGGTAAATATACTAAATTGTTAATATTTTATTAATATATAGTCATTGAAATCCCCTACATAGATACAAGTAGTGAAGATACAATTCTAAGGAATGATTGTAATCATATTTTATATAAATATTACTATATATATTTAGCATCACCGTCAACTAGTATTGCATCAAATTTATCTTGCAAAAAATTAATTTAAAAAAAAAAAATTGATCAAGGTAACATTTGTAAATATTTTTATTTATTTTAAACTAGATCTATTTGAGAAAATACTTGAAATTGAAAAAATGAAAGAAATAAGATCATCTACAAATTCTTGGCTTAATGTCATGCTAGATCAAACCTTGGAAAAAAGATCAGAAAGGGGAAAGAAGAAGCTTATAAAATTATTTTTGATATTCTCTTCAACTTTGACACTGATGAAGAAGACTGAAAAATATTATATATTGTTATTATTTCATTGGAGGGCTTTTATATTATTTTAATTATATTTATGACATATAATAAATAAACTTTCTTTTTATTAAATTATTACAAATCAATATAAAAAAAATAGAGTAATATTTTTGAAATTTATTATATTATTAAGCTCTAATAGCCTTGATAATTTTATTTCTCTAAAAATATTCAGAAAAGGCATCTCAATATCATTAGAAACTTTTGAGGTTTTTTTTTATAGATTGAGGATTTCATAAATAATTATTTTGTTTATGATCTTGTATACCCTTGGGGTATAGATTTATGTTTTTTATTATTTTAATCATATTAAGACACATATAATAAATAAAACTTTCTTTTTATTATATCATTACAAATCAATATAAAAAAATAGAATAATATTTTTAAAATATAAGCTATAATTGCCAAGGTAATTTATTTCTATAAAAATATTCAGAAAAGGCATGTCTAATATCTTTAGAAACTTTTGAGGGTTTTTTTTATAGATTGAGGATTACATAAATAATTATTTTGTTTATGATCTTGTATATCCTTGGGGTATAGATTTATGTTTTCTATTATTTTAATTAGGGCTGTGCCGATATTAAATATCGGATCGGTCCCGATATTTGGCGTTTTTCAAAAATATCGGATCGGCCCGATACCTGTAAAAACCCCGATCCGATCCGATCCTTTTACTAAAAATGCAATTCTTATAAAACTTTTGAGTAATGAAACTTTGAATTATTATTTTTTAATAAAAAAAATTTTTTTTTAATATTTTAAAAAAAAATAAATTTTTTCGAGTTTCTATTTTACATTAATAATATTTTATAAATAATTTTTTTTTAAACAATGCAAATGTTATTTATTTTTTTAAATAGATTTTACAAGTTTTTTTATAAAAATAGAAAGGAACACCCAAAGTTTTATTTATTTTTAATTTTTTAAAAAAATAACACCAATTTTATTATTTATACTTTAAATAAAAATTATTTTAAATATGGTTTCTGAATTATGGAAATATTTTGATAAAGATGAAGGTAATTTTGCAAAATGCGTCATCTGCGGAATATATTATATATATTAAATATTACAATTTTATAAACCAACATAAAATGGATATATTATTATATATTTTTTTTAAAATTATTGTTGAAATAAAAAAATTAAATTATGCATAATTCTTTTATGCATAAAAAATATTGATTTATTAATTACATTTGGTTCAAAGAGGGGTGGTAAAAAATTAATATAAATATCGGATCGGTATCGGATCGGTTTTGAACCAATATCGGAAAATATCGGATCGGATCGGTAAAAAATATGTGGATCGGCACAGCCCTAATTTTAATCATATTAAGACATACAATAAATAAAACTTTCTTTTTATTATATCATTACAAATCAATATAAAAAAATAGAATAATATTTTTAAAATATAAGCTATAATTGCCAAGGTAATTTATTTCTATAAAAATATTCTGAAAAAAAAATGCTTGTCGCTACTACTATGAATGCTATGTCGCTTACGACAAATCAGCTGCTATGTCGCCTAATGTCGTGTGGTGATTGTCGTGTCGCTGTCGCTCTCTACTGTGAATTCACCCTAACCCCTCATTTACAATTAGCGCGAAATGGCGGATAATTTAAAAATATAGCGTATTTTTAATTGTATAATACGCCGCGAATTCGTGCCATAGAAGGCAGGATTAGATATAACTATATAAAATTTTGCTCAAATAAAATAATAAAAATATGGATCACGAGCTACCTTATTTGCTTATTAATTTTTTTTTAAAGTGAATAATTATTTTAAAATTTTTTTTTGTTCCTATTTTATATTATTGTTTACTTCCTTTATTCACGGTATCAAAAAAAAAAATTAGTTCATCATTTAATAATAATATCGTGTTCACTTTAACTGGTGTTTAAAAATTTGCTTCAAAAAGGAAAAAAAAAATCTTCAAAGATTTTAAATCTCGGAAAAGATTTATCGAAATGAAGATTTTTTTTATCGTATTAAATATATTAGATTTCAAAAAAAAAAAAAATCATTTTACCTTTTAAGGTTAAGTCAAATTTAATCTGAAACTCCGTCGGGGAAGCTTCGAGAACCTTTTCATTATAATTATTGATTTTTTAAAAATATAAATATGTTTCCTTAATTTATATAATTAGCTACGAATTTTCTCGTCTAATTTAGGATTTAATGTTATCAATGGGATATAATAAAGAGACAAATGTCACTCACTTTTTCGGGTGCGTTGGGTAGGTATAAATTTAAATCCTTCAGGGTGTCCCGGAGTTCGGATGCGTAAGCGGCATGCGTTCTCTCTACTACCTTAAATATATTATTTATTTTTTAAAAACATTATCTCCAAAATTTAACGGGAAAACAAGATTTATATTCCTCATCTATTCACTAAAATCTTTTTGCTACACCTAGCCCTACCAACCGCCCCCCCCTCTCCATAACTAGTGTTGTGTAACGGCTCGTTTTGAGCCGCTTTTGAAAAACGGCTAACTCTATATGTACCATCTATGAGCATTGCGATTTTTATAAATAAATACTGAGTTAGCCGTTTTTAAAAATCGGTTCATAACGAGTCGTTTAACAACACTATCCATAACCACCCAATGATAAAATAGAATAAATTTTAGTTGATTAATGCAGATATATTAATAACGTCATATTTTTCATTGTGACTAGAGCGAAGAGAAGTGCTTAAAATTTTCAAATATTCTGAAATTTCAGAGGACATTCCAATCATATCCGTTCATGCAGGATTTGTGTTCTCACCTCCGTAAGCTATCTGGTGAGGGTCAAGAGCTTCTTTTTATGACAACGACTTACCTTATATATGTCTTCTAATTCCCAAGAAACTTTCATACTCTTCCTCCCTTAATTTTCTTCTCATTTTTATGCTATATTCTTAGAACTTTTTTTTTAAAGAATAAAAAATAATAAATTGATTAAACCATGTTGTTTTTGTTACATCTGTATCCTAAATGAACAAATTTAACTTTTGGAAGTAAAAAGATATGGTTACACAATTAAGTTTTGGAAAGAAGGGAGATGCGTTATAACTGTATTTAAATATCCTTTACAATAATATCTTATGTTCAGGATCATTTTAATTTTCGTATTATTATTTCAAAATGATATATTAATTTGAATATTATACAATAAATACTTTTATATGACCTTTATATGCAAGGTTTTTAAAAAGGTTTGGAGAGGATAGATCCAATCCTTCTTTATTTAAACGATACACTTTGACGGGAAAAATGTGACTCGCGGAAATTATATCAAAATGAATAAAACTAAACCTCGGTTGAATCAGCTGGAGAACCCAAGAGGCTAGCAACAAATTTATGAGTTAGATTGAGAGCTGCTTCCAAATTTTCCCTAATTAATGTAAATTAAAAGACGTCAAATAAGGGTTAAATACAATTTTTTACAATAATTTTTTAGGTTAAGGGGATGGGGGTTGGAAGTAGAGATCTGCAAAGTTAGGTCCGGCCCCTAATTATATTTAAAATAATCGGGCCGGGTCGGGTCGGACAATGGAATTTTTTTTTAAATATATCTAAATTTATCAATTTTATATTGAATTTTTTATGTAAAATAAAAAAATTTGATTTTATTTAACGAAACTAAACGCCATATAACATATGACTTTTATTTTAAGTAATTATAAAAATCAATTTCTATATTTAAATAAATTCGGGAAAAATTAGGCCCGATGCAGATCACTAGTTGGAAGTAAATGCCATTCATAAAATTTGCAAAAAGGATTTTAGAAAATTTGTATCAAGGTTAAAAGTTAATGGGAATTATTTTTGTTGGCTGGTAAAAAAAAAAAAACCCCATTATCACGATTTTATTTATTTAAATCGATTTTTATTGATAAAATAATTTTTAAAATATATGTGAGTCTGGTTGAAAATACACCCAGAGAAAATAAAGTAAAATTAAATATACAAGTTCATTTTATTTTATTATATCAAATATCTGTTTCCCGTTGAAATTTATAAATAAAATATACGATTGTTAAAGCAATATCGAATTGAAAAATTATCTATAAAATTTGCCCATTTATACTTAGTTGTGATGCTTAAAAATTTGAATGTAAACATGGGAGATTCATTATATCTCTTTTAAACAATATTTTTTTTTAAAATATTATAATTTATACGAGTATACCATTTCATATTTAACACTGTATAAATTCATTTTTAATAATTAAACATAGAAATTAATTCAGAAACTTTCATGCACAAAATAGTTTAAAAAAAAATAAGGTAGAATAAAATGTTTCATTTAAAGAGATTAACTAACAATTTTTTTTTATTATATTTATATGATAAATATGTGATTAGAATCGTAATTTTATATTTAAAAAAATCATTCATTTTAATCATGATTTAAATAATTTTGATTTATTCATGCCATCTTCATTAGTACTATCACTTAATAAAAAAATCGAGTATATTTTCGATTCCAACGTTAACTTTCACACTTGTAATATTTACAATCGAAATAGTAATTTCAAATTTATTCCTCCATTATTTAAAAAATATAAATTTTACAAATTCTTAAACTTTTTCATTGTTTAAAGAGAAACAAAATAAACCTAATATTAAAATTGATAATGATAATGATGGTAAGTTCTGATTTGAATTGTAAAAAAAATATCATTTATTTTTACCCTAGTGATTACTTTCCAGCATTGCCAAATTTACTAATCCTGTATTAGAAACAATTACTTCAAGCTCAGCACTTAAGTAAAATATTAAGCTAATTATAACTAGATTTAAGGATAATTTATAACTAGATTTAAGGAGAATTTATAGTAAAATAGTTATTCATAAACGATGCGTTATTTAATGCAGCATTATTTACAAAATCACACTAATATATAGTTATAGTTTATAAATATAGGTAGAGTTTATAAATATGGAGTGTTATGATCACTATGATAAAATTTGAATAATATATGTTGCAATGCAATGATAAAAAATATGAAATATGATTAAAAAAGATTTTATTATCAATTTTTTAAGAAACAGAAAATTATTTTTATTAAGTAAATACTATAATATTGACACAGCCCTAGTTATTAAGATTTAAATATGCGATTAAATTTAAACATAAAAAATATTCAAATATTATTTTATAAAAAATTTATATACTTATAATTCTTTAATCTATGAGTAAATTCTTGATCTTTGTTTGGCAAAATTTTATTATTTTCATTCAAAACTGGAGTCATCTGTGAAGTATTTGTCATTTTAGAAGAATCTTTTATTTCAATTATCACATCTTTATCTCTATTGTTGATAATCTTGTTTTCCTGGCTATAAAAATGATTCTGATTTTCTGCAAATGTATTTTGGGGAATGCTATTATGCATTGTAGAGTTAAGATCATTGTAATATTTTTGGTTATCCTCATAATATTTTGATGCAAAATTAGGGTGAATATATATCTGATCATTGGAAAAATTTGATATATCTTCTGAACTCATACTATTAACTATTGAATTCTGTTTCTAATATATATAATCAATTAAACCTCAAATTTAAATTTTACTATTTTTCATTTTATAGAAATTTTTATTCAAAACAACCATATATATTTATTCACTTTTTTTCTAATGTTCTTTTTACCCATTTATTATAAATAGGTAAAATAGCAAAAAACTGTTCTTCATAACAAAAAGAAGCATTTATAGTAGTATTAACTGTTAAACAATGTGATGAAGTAGACAAATCAGCTGTGACTGTGATGTTGCTTAACAATACTCATAACTTTAGCTTCACTAAAACTAGGTCTTATTTTTACATTTAATTAGATTTCATAAATTTAAATCATCCTATCAATGTTTATTATGATGTAAAAGTAAATTAATTAATAGCCTATCCTTATATAAAATTAAATCTATATAAATAATACATTGAAAGATCCTCTCCTTTCTTCCAGTGGATGATTCACTAAGATTTTATTATTTAAATTGCTTATATAGTTATATGTATATCCATCATTATGCTCGACATTAGAACTTGTAATTATTTCTGCAGTCCCCATAAATATAGGGAGATTTCTATTCATATATCCATTATTTTCTTTTAAGATGTGTCCGTCTTTTCGTAATTTATATTCTTCAAGCTACTTTTAATAATTTGTTTATTTCTAATAAAATTTACCTTTAGTTTTGCAGCAGCTATTTTAGTTTCTCGTTCAGTTAAATTCATCGTAAAAATTGAAACGACTAAAGTTATTAGTTAACATAAAATAGGATGACATGAATAGTAAAAACACCTGTCTGTCTTTATGACAATATATTATATTGAAAAATTTTACTTATGAATAGCCAGGTTTTATCCATAAGGAGAAGGAGGTGCGGGGTTTGAAAAATTTGGCCTTCAGCTGATTCCCTAAAAAATATAATAATATATTAATTTTTAGGAGTTATCTTTATATCATCTTTGTTAAAGATGGCTAAACAATTGGAAATACTAATTCTGAAATTTGCCAATATTTTGTGCTTTATTAGTGTCTAACCACTATAATAGCCAGTGTTGTATGCAAATATATATTTAGTTGAGCCCTTCTTAATTGGGTGGTATTCAAATTTATATAAATGAACGTTCATCGTATGCAAATAAATATAATTATTTTAAAAATGTCTATGAATATGAATATTTTAGATCATAGTTGAAAAAGAAATATATAATTTTCATTACTTATTTTTATTATGAATTTTTACGAAATTATAATTTTTTTGGTATATTAAAAGTGGAATAAAATAAAAAGATTTGAAATAAAAGAGAATCATTTTTGGGTATTCAGTAAGATTACCAAATTCAATAATTTATATATATTGCATTATGTTCAGTCTCTCCCACTAGCCTCAGCAATATAAATATCAATTCCATATTGGTACAGTGGTGCCTTACAGTGATTGATCCAGGCTTTAGAAGATCGAAGGTCAGTCTAATTATACATTGGAACTAGGTAAAAAAATAAGATAAAATAAATATATATAAATTTTTTGATAATTTCGGTTTTCTTATTGATGTTATATAAATTTTGAATCATTGTATTGGTTTTATTCGTATGTTTATATTTATTTAATTGTTTAAGATTAGTTAAAATTATTTTAATCAAGTGGTTATTGAGTACACTTTAATGTATATTACGCAAATAAATTTATTAAGTTTAATACTTGAAAATATAAGTATAATTATATTTTTGTTGCTAATTTTAAGTTTCACGTTAGGTTTAATTATAGGAAGAAATACGACTTACGTTAAGATAGAGATTAAAGAGTTAGAAAATATTAAGGATATATTAAGAGAGTAAGATAAGAAAAGAAATATAAACAACTTCATACGAACGGATAATTACAAACAGATAATTTGCTATAGTTGTGGTCAGCCGGGCCACATGTCGCGCCAGTTTGAGATAACGAAGAATCTAAGATGCGCGAGGTGTGGCAAGAATGACCATGTGGCTATAAGTTGCAGAGTAAACAATTCAATTGTAAGGTGCAATAATTGTGCCCAAGAAGGATACACACAAGAAAATTGCAATAAATGACTTACAGAGAAATATTTTAATTTTAATGATAAATTTTGTAATGATAATAATTTTTCTAATGTTGATAATTTTAATTCAGGTAAGAATAAATATTTTAATTTTAATGATAAATTTTGTAATGATAAAAATTTTTCTAATGTTGATAATTTTAATTCAGGTAAGAATAAATATTTTAATTTTAATGATAAATTTTGTAATGATAATAATTTTTCTAATGTTGATAATTTTAGTTCAAGTAAGAATAAGTATTGTAATGTTAATGATAAATCCGGTGATGTTAATGAGTGTTTTAATATTGATAATTATAATTTGAATAATGATAATAAAAGTATAGGTAAAGAGAGAAATATAAAGATAGAAAGTAGGAATTTTGAAATATATAGAATAAAAGGTTCAACGGGTGTAGATGTACGAAAAATTAAATTAGAGGATTTTTTAATGAAAAATATATGTCCGAGAGTCAAGATAAAGGCTGAAGAAGCAGAGATAGGTTTTTTATTGGATACAGAAGCGGAGATTAGCCTAATGAGTGTAAAAGATTTTAATAAATATTTTCCAAAAGAAAGATTCATTGCAAAGAGAATAAAGGTTAGACAATTAGACGGTAGCATGGTTAAAATTCTAGGTTTTTATGTGATAAAATTGTTAGATATAAATAAGGAAGTAAAGTTATGGATTACGACACTAAAGATAGAGCCTATTTTAGGTTGGAATGACATTGAAAAGATAGGTCCTGATTATAATTGGTGGTCATTGTTTGAAAATGTCCGTGAGAAAAACAAAATAACGAATGAGATAATAAGAAGTGAGAATAAAGAGAAGACTGATTTACCTTGTTTAAAAGTTAAACAGGACATAGTTCTCGATGAACTCAAAAATCGAACACCAGAATTTTTTATTAGATATAGAAGTAACTTAGAAGAAAATAAGGAAATAAGAGATATAAAGACAATAGAGGTAAATACAGTCGAAGATAAACAACAAGGAATTAATAAAAGGGTAGAAATGAATGTTGTTGAGGACAATTTTGACAAAGAAATAAAGATTATTTTGAATAGATATAAGGAAGTCTTTAAAGAAGAATTAGGGACTCTTAGAGATTTTGAAGTAGATATACGATTAGAACAAGGTTATCGACCTAAATATTGCAGCACAAGAAGATTGCCGTTTTCGTGGATAGAAGATATAAATAAGGAATTAGACAAATGGTTAAAAGAAGGAATTATAAAACCAATAGTGCATAGTGTATGGGCAACACCGTTAGTTCCCATAAGAAAACCAGATAACAGTTTAAGACTGTGTATAGACTATAGAGTATTTAACCCATGGGTAACAAACGAAAGATATCCATTACCTAGAATAGAACAATTGTTGGCTAATTTAAGAGGAGCAACAATTTTTTCAAAAATAGATTTTTCGAATGCTTACTTACAAATAAAGGTAAGTGAGAGAACAAGTAAGATATTAACGATTACAACTCATAGAGGATTATTTGCTTTTTGTCGTTTACCATTTGGTTTGAAAGTATCAGCTCCAATATTTCAAAGAACGATGTAGGCATTATTTCAAGGAATAAAGGGAATAATGTATTATTTAGACGATGTTTTGATATCTGGTAGAACAGAAGAAGAACACAATGCTAGGTTAGTTAAAGTGTTAGATATTATATTAGAAAATGGTTTAAAAGCTAATATTAATAAAAGTGTTTTTGGAACAAGAAAGATAAAGTATTTATTTAAGACATATTATAAAGGGAGATGAAATTACTCCAATTGCAAAGAATATAGATAAGATAATGAATATGAGAGCCCCAAATAATAAGACTGAAGTATAGGCGTTTTTTGGAAGCAACGAATTATTATCATCGGTTTGTTAAAAATTTTGCAGAAATCGCCTCACCCAGCGTCTACATGGCCGGGGGGGGGGGGGGTAGGAGACAAATGCCTCCAAAATATATTAGCATTTTTGGGGGTAGGTATCGATTTTAAGGGGTTGATATTAATTTTTTGGGGGTAGGCATTATTTTTTTGGGGGTAGGTATTGATTTTTGGTGGGTAATTTTTGATTTGAATTATAATCTTTTTTAAATCCATTAATTGATACGATTATGATGGTTATCGTTTGATTTTCTGAAAAATGTCAATTAAAGTAAAGATATTTGTCAATTAATAAATAATATAAATTTTCTTTGTCAACGATTTTCATTTAGCATTTTATCAAGTTAATATTTACACATTTCCTATTTGGTACTTTTATTAGAGGTTAATATATTTATATTATGTTTTTTAATAAATTTATAGATTTTAGCAGGATAAATTTTAGGTAATTTTTTGAGTCATGCATAAAAACATATATCAGCAAGCAAAGAATAATAAAAAACATAATATGTAAAAAATTATATTATAATAATTATTTCTTTCTAGATGCCAAGTAACAAAACCATATTTAAAGTTAAGTGCAATATTAAAAATGCAAAACTTCTAAAATAAGAAGTGACAAGATACATGAACATTATAAACATAAACATCCTCATGTCAAGCCAGCTGATATGAAATTTACAAAGGTAGCCATCAAAAGAGATAAAAATAATTGGGTATCTTTAAATTGTGATATTTCATATAATATCACAAATGGAGTTGAAACCCAGTTGCAAAAAAAGACAATAACATCTTACTTCCAAAAATTAATATTTTTATTTATTATTGTAACTATAAATTTGTGAATTAATAGAAACTGATTTAAAATTTTACCAGAATAATATTAATATTAAAGTAGTCAGGGTATAGAGAAAATAAATTATATATATTATTATTTAATGTTTTTTAACTGTTTATCACTATTTTTATATCTATATATACTTTATAAAGTTCAATTTAACAATATGTTTAATAAGTTAATAATAATAATTTAAAACCAAAGTATTAAAAAAACTTATTAAGTTAATATAATGTAGTAAAATAAGGTAATGTTAATTTCTAGGAATTTTTAAATTTAAATCTTTTCATCTTTAATTAAATTAAGACTTCAAATTCTTTTACTTTTTTTAAATATAAATCTTATAAAATATGATTTGGAATCAACTATTTTCAAAATGTTATCTGTGTGAGTTTCATCCCCTTTATTTACAATATGTGTTATATTAGGTATGTTTATTATCATTGTTTTATTTAGCTATTAGAATTTCTTTAGATAATATACTTTCATCATGAATTTCACAATTTTATTTATACTTAATATTGTTTTTATTTTTATAGTCATTATAATATTGTTTTATGATTTCTTCATGTGATCGCAGTTTTATATTAATCTGCATCTATCATGCCTATGAATCTTTCAAGTATATTTTAAAAATGTTTTTACATGATCTAACAAAGTCATATTGATGTTTATGATTATTGCGTTCAAAATATGTGAATTCCCTTTGTATTCTACATTCACTTGTGCTTTACCTATTACTTGTATCATCTTTCCATTGTAACCTGATAACTTTATGTTGGACTTCATAATATTTTTAATACCTGTTTTCTCAATCATGTATTCATGTAGAATTAAAACATTTATTAAAAACTTAATTATAATGTAGTTAAAAAAAATTATCATTTGCCTAAAAATTTATTAAAAATATAGTTATCATAAGGAAAGAAATTAAACTCCTCTTTATTTATAGAAAATCTCAGTTAT